AAATTAGATTGAATGATATGATGTTTGTATTATATGTATTATATGTATTTAGTTATTATATTTAGTTGTATTTGTATATCTAGTTACAAAAAAAATATCAATATACATGTCACGATTTTAGGATAAAAAAAGTGTTCAATGTGATAAATTTACGATATGATCAAAAAAAATTGGATTTGCCTATTTGCCTTTTTTTTCTTCATTCAACCTGTACGCGTATGTTGATCCTGTTGATCCGTCCAATCTGTCAATCTGTGCAAACATCAAATCTTGTCAATCCGTAGATCATAGATGGTAGTTTTGCATTATTTAATTATTTTCGGCTACTGTAGTTATTTTATATGCCAATTATTTGCTGCCAGCAAAAGTTATATTTTTTTTTTGATCTCACTCGCGATTTACGAAATATAGAGCGATTTTCTAAAGGTCTACAAAATGGTATATGCTTCATCCCTGTAGTGTCAATATTCATCGAATTATTATGGTTAAAGTCAAAAAAATATCCAATGGACATTTTACTTTAAACTGTAATAACTCGTTGAAATACATACCATTTTGTAGCCAAGAACAAGGCCTTTTGATTTAATCAAAATCACTGTACTAGTGAACACGAGGAAAAGCAAAAGAAAAAAAAGTGTAAAAAAATGCACAAAACAGCCATAGCTGAAAATAATCACGGCAGTCAAAATACCGAAAATAATTAAGACAGCTGACAATCAAAAATAATTATGGCAGCCAAAATTAAGATATACTGAAAATATTTTCAGCTGCAATAATTTCATAATTCTGGTTCCGTGGCAGGTCCAAGCATAAACCTAATACTGCGGAAGTTATCTCTAGAAATAAGAGCCGGTGATTTCATCTTTACTTTAAGTTTCAAATTCTTTCTTTGCAAGTATTCGATTAGCTCTTCGGTGTCAAAATCTTTTACATTTGCCATCTCGTGAACGGGCCCTTGGTCGGAGGAAACTCTTGAGGGTGAAGACATCTCTTTAAAAAGAAAGGTTTTATTACTATGCCTAGATACTGTCAAGAAACCGCGGAATCTATAAGACTAACTAGGTTTATAAGTTAAGTATGCAGAATCTATCGTATCATGCAAGGTTTTAAAAATGTACTGCGGAATCTATCATATCACTGCCACGAGTTCGAGAGTTTTTCAAAAAAATATTATCATTGGCATTGTCAAAAAAAGTGCTTCAAATATTACGACTTCCGTAATGGTTTCTGTCACATGATTATTTTTTTTTTCGTAATTAGACATTCATTGTAAAAAATCGTAGGGGGAATAAAGCATGAAAATATGCCTGCCGAAATCCTACATTGTAAAGAATGTTCCTGCCCTCACTAGATATCGTTATCGTTTTCATTATTGTTATCGTTATTGTTATTTCTATTACTACTGCTATCATCTAAAATTATATTGCTCGAAAAATTATTTCTACTGCTACTACTAATAATAACGGAATGATCTTTTTTCCGATTTTCTTTCTCAATCCAGGCCTCAATTTTATCTAATGTGG